GTCTTTGGGGGCGTCGTGAACCGGCTCTCCGCCTCACCATCACCTTTCACGCCGCCCTCAGCCTCCTGGTTCTCGTCTCCATCCGCAAGCACTCGCTTCTTCTTAGGGCTCTTCTTGGGGCTCTTCTTCTTCAACTTCTTCATGCCAGGCACAGCATCCGCAAAGTGTGGCACCTGGATCTTCTTGAGCAAGGCCTGGTTGCCTTTCTCCTTGATCAGATGCGCCACCGCCACGGAAATGTAGCCACTCTTCGTCTCCACAGTGCACTTGTGAAAATACTGCGGATTCTTGAGCTTCGCCTCGAGAGGGATTTCCGCAGGCACCGGAAACGCAACTCCGGAGATGTGCTGGATCTTGCGCGTCGCCACATCATCCGCCTCGACCAGCTGCCAGTACCCGGGGGTGTGCTCCCACAGGTCCTGCAAACCAGTTTGCCGGTCAATGACTATTAAGCAAGCGCTGGCCAAATCCATCCCAAATCGACTCGATCGAATCCTTTGCTTCGAGCCCTCCTACAAGAACCCAGCTAAGTCAGCACTTGTCTGAGGGCCCAACCCAAGCTTTGCAAATCCAGGTAACCAATGGTAACATTGATTACGAAAAATTCGAAGCTATTTCCGGGATACAGGGGCTGTGTTGGAGTAAAGGGTCCTAATGAAATCATTTCGCTTATTATTAACGCCCTTGGCCTGGCCCTGCATGCCTCAACTCAACCAACCCGAGCCAGAACCTTGAAACTAAATCTGGTGTGTTACAGTGTTGAAAGGGCCTCACTTGTCAAAACATTACCATATTACATCCCGCAGTCACTGGTCTGACAACCCAAGCAATTGCATTTTCAGACGACTGACTGTCAAGCCCTGTTAAAGCTCCAGTCCTCAAGAGCTGTGCACTCGTCCGGCGGCTCGAACTTGCTCAGGCGAAGGCCGTGCTTCTTGTGCTCAGCATGGCACCATGCCTTCAGCTCTGCAACCTTCTTACTCGGAACTGCCGACGTGGGGTCGCAGTTCGTGATGAAGCCGAGCACCTCGTTGGCCACATCCTTCTTCATCTTGGGCTGCTTGATCTCGCCCAACCACTCGGACATTCGGGGGAGCATCTCTTGCAAGAGCCCGATAGTGAAGCTGGTGTTCAAGAGCCTCAGCTTGTTACACCACTCTGGCAACTTCTCCTCCTCGGCATCCGAGGCCGCAGCCTCCGGATTGTCCAGGTGATCGTAGCTCTTCTGGAGGATGCACAACTGAAGCAGATGTGCGCAGGCCCGGGGGTGTGTCGTCAGCCACCCCACCATAGACTCGACATTCTCCTTCTCGGTTTTCTTCACTCCAGAGTCGGCCAACTTTCTCAGGTC